GAAACTCACCACACCAATATTGAACCTATTCTGGAGGCCAAAGTACTCTCCATTATAGAAACAAAAGTTGATGCCCTTGTCGACTCGCAGCTCACGGCAACAGTAGAGCCACAACGCACATCAGCAGTCGAGTCGACGCTTGAAGCACGTCCTGGCGAAGTTGGAGCCCATCTCCGCCCAAATTGGTGACACGTTCATGACGCTCAGCCATAGGATGGACACTCACACAGCCCAAATCAACGATCTCAAGTCGCAGCTAACCAACTTCGTGGTTCATGTCAAGAACAACTGCATTGGTCACGCGGAACTTTAGGACTGCCATGGCAGAAAAAACCATGGCGAAAGAGAGAAAGATTCTCACTCCTTCTCTCCCAATGGCGAGCAGGTAAACGTACCAGATATTCACGAAGATGGCAGGCTCTAAGAATAGGATTTATACTCCGCAACCAATTTTTCGCATTTGGCAGTGGAACTGTCGATCATACAGACCCCGGCTGGCTAAACTAAGAAAATTTATAAAAGTAAATCAACCCGACCTCATCCCTCTACAATTGAAAAATACTGAAAAAGTGTCGCTCGCAAGATACAACACCGTTGCTCTGACCCCAAGAACCGCCATTCTACTTAAGAAAACAGTTGCGGCCCAAGTACACAAATGTTCATCTGTAGTGTAGAATACACTACAGATGAACACTTCATCTTGGAAGTCATACCAGAACGAAAATCACAACAAAGCTTTTACGTCCCTAACGTGTACAGCCCACCGTGAGATCAGCTCAGGGACTACGATTACTTCGTCCGCAAACTTAAAAACGCACAAAAGGTCACCCGTTAGTGGTCCTAGGGGACTTCAATGCACGCCACACAGTCTGGCGCTATGCCATCACCACCAAGAAAGGCGTGAGAGTCCACGACTCCGCTCAGCAGCATGGCCTCACATTGTTAAATGATCCGCTCCCACGAGAGTGTGAAACAGCGTCTTGAGAGATACCACGCCCGACCTCACCTTTACACGAGATGTCAAGAAGGTGGGATGGACCTGTCTCCCCGAGACGTTTGGCAGCGATCACCACATAATTCAACTCGAAATCAAATATGACCAACGACCTACAAAAACAGGCACCGCAAGACTGACGGATTGGAACGCCTTCAGAAACGAGCTCGATGCTGAGAACTCAATAGCGGCCATAGACGCCTGGCTCACCAAGATTCTGGATACCACCGAACGGTGCACCAAAGTAATGCAGCGTAACGAAAACAATCCGGCAGTAGATTCCCACTTACTCCACCTCTGGGAGGCCAGACGAGCCTTACCGAAGAGATGAAAGAGGCAAAAATTGAACAAGAAACTCGGGAAAAGAATTTCCTTATTGACAGAAGAGGCGCAACAGTATGCCGAAAACCTAGCGAGACACAACTGGCGCGACTTCTGCGATAAGCCCCAGGGTACGCTCAGCACCAAGAAGACGTGGCACCTTCTGCGGACTCTCCTCGGTGACCGCCCCACCAGGACGAAGCAGTGGCAACGAGTACGTCAGCTCACACATAATTACGACGGCTCGGAGGAAGAACTGCTCCACGAACTATGCAACAAGCCGCGTTGTCCTGTCCAATCAGCAGCAATGCCACCACCACACAAAGAATACGAAGGCATGGCCGACTCCGACCTTGACAGGCCCTTCACACCAGCAGAGCTTCAAGCAGCTCTTTCCAAGCTTACAAAAAACACGAGTCCAGCCAAAGACGGGATAGTCAACAAGCACCTCCGACAGCTACCCAATCAGGCTATGACTGCTCTCCTACAGTACTACAATGACGGCTGGGACAAAGGACAGCTTCCAGCCGCGCGGAAGCAATCGGTTATCATGATACCTAAGCCCGAGTCCATAGATACCTAAGTCCATAGATATTGAAAACCTTAGACTCATTTCTCTTACAACGTGCGTTGGCAAGCTGTTTGAGCATATGATTCATGGCCGTATCACATCGCACCTTAAGAACAGCGGATACTTCCCAGACACCATGTTCGGCTTCCGCCACCTGCTTTCTACGCAGGACATCCTCTTACTCCTCAAAGAAGGTCTAGTTGATCACTTGAGCAAGAATAGCAAGTCGTCCTTTCTGGCCATTGATGTGAAAAGTGCCTTCGACAATGTTAGCCAGAAAGCAATACTACAAATTCTCGAAGATACTGGCTGCGGTTCCAAGATATATGGCTATGTTCGAAGCTTCCTCACCGGTCGTACAACCATGGTGGTAATATACAACATACAGAACGAGCGCAAACCTTGAGCTGCCGAGCAGGGGTACACCTCAAGGCTCTGTTGTATCACCACTCCTTTTTAACGTGGCACTCCTTAAGCACCCCCGGCTTCTCGAAAAAATCCAGGGCCTACGTCACGCCATCTACGCGGACGATATTACGCTTCGGACTCGAATCAAGAGCACTGGAGAGCGAGAAAGCTGCCTTCTGGAGGTGGTCAATGTCATAGAGAACTACCTCGAAAGCTGCGGCCTCCATTGTGCACCTGAAAAATCGGAATCACTAGTACTCAAGGCCCGCACGTGAGGAAGACCTCCAACTTGCGAAGCGCCAGACCCATGCATCATCCTTCACGGGGTCCAAATACTGAAGGTCACCTCACTTCGCGTGCTCGGCTTGCACCTGCACTATGACGGATCAGAGCCGCCACGCTTCCTGGACTTCAACGCACAGTCTTCCAGCTCACGCACCTCGTAAGGAGAGTCGAAAACCGACGCAGTGGCCTGAAAGAAACGATACCTTGAGAGTTGTGTAGGCTCTTCTAACCAGCCGAATCACCTATGGAACCACGTACCTCACTCTCAAGACATCCGAAGTCGACAAGCTGAATTTGCTCATCCGCAAAGCAACCAAGCTCACCATAGGGCTGCCTCCAATGGCGTCGACCACCAGACTCATAAGAATGGGTATACACAATATCTGGCAAGAGCTTGCAGAAGCCCACGGACCAGCCTACCCAAGAGACTTAAGCTTACGTCGACGGGCAGATTGGTTCTTGAGCGCTTGGGCTACAGCAAGAGCTACATCTGCGAGGCACACTCCAGAGAAAAGATGCCTGCGTACATTCGAGAATCATTCAGCATCGCCCAAGTACCGCGTAACATGCATCCCGATTACCATCTAAAGAGACGAATCGCTAGAGTCGACACCATTCGCAGAAAACACCAGCACGATCCTGACGCTCGCTACGTCGACGCGGCAAAATACCCTGGCAAAGATGCCTACGCTTTAAGTGTGGTCGACGCGGAAGGACAAGAGCTGGCATCCACCACCCTCCGGGTTCGGAGCTCCGAGTCTGCCGAGGAAGCAGCGATCGTCCTTGCCACTACGACTGGTAAGAACGCAGTCGTAGTTTTCACAGATTCCCAATCCGCTATCCGCAATTGCACGTGAGGCCGAATCTTCGCCGAAGCTCTCAAAATTCTGAGAAAGGGCCGAACTCCGCTTCCTTACACCTGCGTGGTATGGGTGCCGGGGCACGAGGGGCTCGAGGGAAATGGGTGCTGGGGCACGAGGGGTTCGAGGGTCCCGAGGCGCGAGGGACTCGAGGGGCTCGAGGGAAAAACGCATAGGCCCGCGGTCACGTAAACCGGGCCTTCCTCAGCGCCTCGCTTGACCCGCGGTTAGCCAGCGCTGCGGAAGAAGTGGAGACCATACCACCAACATACAGCGCCATCCTACAACACTACCGTCTAGCTCGCACGGTGTACCCGTCACCTCACCCCAAGCTGACTAAAGAAGAGGCAACGGCGTTTCGGGGACTTCAAGCTCACACCTATACACACGGCACCCTACTGCATAGAATTTACCCAACGCTATACGCCTACAACTGCCCCATACGCGACGTGCCAGACACACTGGCCAACCTACTAATCGATTGTCCGTGACGCTACGAAGATGCCAATACCAAGTCCGCAACGACTGCACGTATCGACCCCCTAGCCGAGACGTGAGAGGCCAAGATTGCCGCACTTGACGTACACGACCAACGAGGACTTGTCGTCAGGGACCGGGAGGCGATTGCGGCCAGAGGATTCCTGGAATAAGGGACCCTCCCACCTAGGGTGACACCGAGCTCACAAACTCGAGAACACTGATTCGAAAAATAAATGTTTATTTGATCATCATCATTCACGAATTAATATGATATTCGAAACGACTCGTGGTTTGAAATCATAACGAACCATTATAACACATTGGGCACAATTTTAGTAAAGTGCCACAAAACAATTACATTCGCAACCTACGTGAAGACTCTACCACACGGTTTATGCAATTGCCCTCATTTAGGCAGATTTGGCATCTTTCAACTTCGATTGCAAAGGTAACAGGTTTTTAAATACTCCTGCATTCATATTGGCTCAGAAATGCTCCTAAAGCTATGTCACTTTATTGCGTAGCAAAGGTCATCTAAGGTCCTCGTTTTCGGCACAACGTAATATTTTTCGGCCTAACTTTTGCGGTTTTCGAAGTGATCTGCTCGTACATTCCATTGGAGTGTGTCGCAACAATTAACACTCCTGACAAAGTTTTTTTAATAGAATGTTTGGGTGCATGTGCGGGAGGACACGAATATGAAGCTTCAATAACTTAATGAGCCCGCCTCGTCACTCGTGCGAGGAGCGTGCTTGCAATTTTAGGTTTTTTGTTTCCATCTGCTGACCACTTTCTGAGCTACGTTGATGTCCGTGGTATCTGGCCATGAAAACACGGAGCGAACAAAGGTAGGCGGAAAAAAACTCTTGTTACTCCTGTGGTGCTCGTGACGAACGTCTTGGCGATGAGCACGAGCAAAGAGCTCAAATAACAATGTACAAGTTTCAGATTGAGTGAAGATGTTTAGAAAGCAAATAGTTATGAATAGCACAGTTGGAACATTTTTTCACCGATATTCAAGTATCATTAATACGCTTCGCATTGTAATAAATATTGCCTGCATTGCGCTCTCTTTTCCCAGGGAAGCGGACGAAGCTGATTACGAGGGAAGCCTCCTGTGCTATTTGCCCCCTTTCGATGGTGAGTTGTTTTTGCGTCGAAAGAGAGCGTGGAAACCTTTACAGTCATACGAGTGGTGTTTCGGACATTTCTGTGCTCTCCGTCAATACAACATGTACTTATAGTTATCATTACATTGATTGCTGCAACCGGTAACTGTTCATTTGTCACAAGATGGTGACATTTATGAAGGCAGAATTCAGCATTCTCAAGCCTGAACATTCCTCTTAGGGCGAGCCTGTGCCCGGGAAACGAAACCTCACTCTACAAGCGATACACGCTGCACAATATTATCAGTCAACAGAGAGTTGTCCATCGATAATCTGACGAGAGGTCAAGCCTGTCACCTTTTATTTCTGTATTAACAAACATTTCACTGTAATTGCTAGTGACCTTGTAAGTTCCAAGCAATCTCATCAGAAGTTCAGGAGTTTTGTAGCTCGGATGAGTGGGTCATGTATATTAACCCAACTTGTATTAGCGCAGTGCATATAAGAAGCACACACGGTACAGACCTAAAGAGAAAGCTAGGTAATAAATCATGACATAAAATTACATGTGCCACTTATGCGACAACTAGCACGTGCTACATATTTAAAGCTTTTCCGGTGGTTACATGACGTCACCCCAGTGTACGTGCGAGTGTACTCTGGGTTCAGTGTTCCGGAGCGTCGCACTCGTTTTTACTGGTGTTGTGAGAGTCTGTGATTAGTGCAAAGTACCAGTCATATCTTAGAAAAGATTTTTCTGGCACAAGTGAGGCATTCTGCTGGTAGTTTTACTCCCATATGAACCATATCACACCATCATCTTCATCATTACCCTGACTACCCCACTGCAGGACAAAGGCCTTTCCCATGATCCGACAATCAACGCGGTCTTGTGCTTTCGGTTTTCGTGTTATACCTGCGAACTTTTTAATCTCATCGGGCCGCCCCGCCGCGGTGGTCTAGTGGCTAAGGTACTCGGCTGCTGACCCGCAGGTCGCGGGTTCAAACCCCGGCTGCGGTGGCTGCATTTCCGATGGAGGCGGAAATGTTGTAGGTCCGTGTGCTCAGATTTGGGTGCACGTTAAAGAACCCCAGGTGGTCGAAATTTCCGGAGCCCTCCACTATGGCGTCTCTCATAATGCAAAAATCGATGTGGGAAAACCACGCTTCGGAGTTTAAAGGCACCAAATGAAGGAGACGCAAACGCCAGCATCCATCGTAAAAGAGCGTGTTCTCTTTCATTTGGTGCCTTTAAACTCCGAAGCGTGGTTTTCCCACATCGATTTTTGGTGCCGAAACCCGGGATATGGTAATTTTGGGAGGTTAAACCCCACATATCAATCAATCAATCAATCCTCCTTTATACACGCCATTTACAGCGTTGGAGAGATCGTGTCTCCCTGCCTTACACCCTGCTTCATTCGGGTTCTGTCACTTTCTTTCAGAAGACCTAGGGTGGCTGTGGATCCACTCTACATTTCTTCCAGTATGTTAATGCAGGGTTCTTCGATATCCTGATTCTGTATTGCCTACATTACTGCTGATATCTTGACTGAGTAAAACGCCTCCTCGTAATCTATGAAAGCTTTGTATGGGGCTTGGTTGTTTACCACACATTTCTCTATCACCTAATAGTATGAATATGGTCTCTTGTGGAGTAGCCAGTATGAAATCCTGCTTGGTCCTTTGGTTGAGGAAACTGTATTGTCGCCTTTATTCTGTTAGCTACTATTTTTGTAAATAGCTTGTAGAGAACGAAGAGTAAGTTGATCGGCCTGTAATTTTGCAAGTCGACGTCTCCTTTCTTATGAACTAAAATGATGTTGGCGTTGTTCCGAGATTCTGGTACCCTTCCCGTTAAGAAACGCTTCGTATATAAGGTGGCCAGTTTTTCTAACATTTTCTCCACCGTCTTTTAGGACATCTTGTTACCTTATTTTCACCAGCGGCTTTGCATCTTTGCATTATTTTCAGGGCTTTCCTTACTTCCTATGTTGTTACTGGTGCGTTGTCGAATTCCTCTGGACTATTATTATCTCTCACTATATAATTTTGGTTGTTTTAGCTTCTGTACTTCCCTTTGTATTACTCCTCCACCACCTCGACTATCCTATTCATATTGGTTATGGTATTGTCTTCCTTTTTCTATAAAGCATACAACCGATTTTCACCTACGCATAAGTTTGCCTTCGCACCGTTTAGGCTTCTACTGCTTTTTACAGTCTGCTCCATTCTCCTCATGCTATACCTTCCGACGTCAGCTACCTTACGTCTATTGATTAACTTTGAAAGTCCCACCAGCTGTATTTTTCGGTTGGATGTGAAGCTTTCATAGTTTCTCGTCTAATAATACGGCTTTTTTCTCCTAAGATAGTTTGCGAGTGTTTTCTCTAGTGTCTGCACCTCCGACTTCCATTGCACACTCTTTGAGGATACTAGCGAAATTATCGTTTATTGTATCAACGCTAACGTTGGTTACCTCGTTTAGTGCCTCGAATCTACTCCGAAGCGGAACACCGAATCCCTGTACATTCGCTCTCACCGCCAGTCCACTAATTGGCTTCTTGCGTATTAGTTTTTGTCCCTGCTCTTTTTTTTAAATCTGGGTAAATTCGAGCTCTCACCATCCTATGGACACTGCATCAGATCTAGCCAACTACTTCTACATCCTGTACAATACCTGGGTGTGCACACAGAATGAATTCTATTTAATTTTCAGTTTAGCCATTAGGACTTCGACACGTCCACTTACTTTTAGTTCGTTTTCTGATGAAGCGATTCGAGATCCGTGAATTATTATGTACTGCGAACTCTACTACAATAACTTCCCTCTAGCATTTTTAGAGCCGATGCCATATTTCCCCACTGCGTTGTCTCCGGCCTGTTTCTTGCCCTTTTTGGCATTGAAGTCACCCATCAGAATAATATACTGTGACTTTACTTTATTAATGGCTGATTCTACGTCTTCGTAGAAGTGTTCAGCTAAATCATCACCATGGCTCGATGTAAGCGCGTAGGCCTGTACCACCTTCATCTTGTACCTTTTGTTAACCTAGTTATGAAACTTTGCCACCCTCTCACTGTTTCTACAGTATTTCTCCATGTTGCCAGCGATATTCTTGTGAATAAGAAACCCCATCCCTAGTTCGTTTTTGACACCTTATCCACGGTAGCATAGGGCTTGTCCGTTTATCAGCACTGTATGAGCCTCACGACTCTTTCTAATTTCGCTGAGCCATACTACATCCCATTGAACACCCTGTAATTCCTCGAATAGGACAGCTATACTAGCCTCACTATATAGCGTTCTAGCGTTGAAGGTAGCCAAGTTCGGATTCTAAAGGCGGCCTGTCCAGACATAGAGATTCTTAGTACTTTTCGCTGCGTCGCAGGTCTGACCGCCACCTTGGACAGTTGCTTCGCAGCCGCTGGGAACTGACGGCCTAGGGTCAATTGCTGTAGTCATGAGAGGTAGTGGCCAATCTTGCTCTGGTGAGGAAGTACATTACTGGCGGGTGGTCGCAAGTGAGGCCGCACCACGGGCCAATTCTTTTTTAAACAATTTCTTTATCACGCGTTTTTCAATAATTATTATGTGCATTCAGTGTGCGGAGAATTGCCATTCAGGCAACATAGTTTCGTTTGCACCATATAGTACTTCACTATTTCTCCACGGAAACATTTATGAATACTACTCTGATGGTCCATTTGAGGAAGGACCACACTAATATACGATTAGCTTTAGAAGCATAGACCTTTTAGTTCACTTACACTCATCTGGCTGTCCAAATCCGGATATCGCTGCGTGTGGCTTGGAGGTGTGAGCCTAATGTTTCTTTCATAACACATCAGCTCTAAACCTGCGTGAACAAAAAAGGTGGCTGTGAAATATGCAATACATATGAAGCACACTACCCGTAATTTAAATCTGCGAAGACCCGTTTCCTCATAATTTTTTTGGTTCAGTATATGCACAAAATTGTTCAAAAAAAGAAAAAAAATTCGGCACATCTCACGTACCTGGGATTTGACGTTATGCTTGGTATGTGGAAGGACAGTGACCGTGATGCAATTTTTATATGAGCGACATGTCCCCAAGTGACGCTACATATAATTAAAAATGTTGCGCGCACACACATATGATGAAGAGTTGCGAATGTTGATATAACCGGCTGTTTGCACTTGCTCACCGAGGCCAACTGGAACATGCGTATTTACCAACACCAGAAGTTGTTATGAAGCGCTGATTCTCGCGAGCATGCTGGTCCTAAGCACTGCTACATAAATGAACTTCAGCGCATGGCACCTAACCACAATTAACATTAACCTGGCATGACGGCTGTATGAAAGGAGCACATATGTAATGATTATAAAATTGGGTGAGCAGCACAGCAATCACTTATGACGTTTCACAAAGATAATGATTGATATGTGGGGTTTAACGTCCCAAAACCACTATATGATTATGAGAGACGCCGTAGTGGAGGGCTCCGGAAATTTAGACCACCTGGGGTTCTTTAACGTGCACCCAAATCTGAGCACACGGGCCTACAACATTTCCGCCTCCATCGGAAATGCAGCCGCCGCAGCCGGGATACGAACCCGCGCCCTGCGGGTCAGCAGCCGAGTACCTTAGCCACTAGACCACCGCGGCGGGGCTTCACAAAGGTAAGCGTCTATTTGAAAAGTAGCTCAGAGACCTGGCGTAACTCTGTCGTAGAATGCTTCATGGCCGCGCAGAATTCTTTGGTTTTATTGCAGCTGGAACCCTAACAATTATTGTTTTGTTTCTCGAGTGGAAATATCGGTACCTACCTTTCTTACTGTTCTGAAGGCGTACCTCAAAAGTTCTTGCGTTTCTTTTGTAGGTAGTATATAATTGCTGAAGAAAGGCATTTGCATCCGGTTCAGTGTAACACCAATTTTATGTGCCTTTTTTATCAATTATTGACCAGGCGTTGCAACGTGTTTCGAATTCGTCGCATCCTATTAAATTCGAAGCATTTCTTAGCGAACTTCAGCTCCTTTAAG